AAATTTTAAAAAGACTGGACAAAATTGGCCAAAATTATCGTTAAGGAATCTGTGCTGAAGCTCATCCCAAGTAACAATTTTGGTTTTATGAAGGTTCTGTAGACCATGATTTAGACTTATAGAATGCTATAAAACCTCTATAAAACTGGAAATGTTACTTGGGATGTGCAGTGTCAGATGAAAAGTTCGCTCTTTGGCATACGATTAAAAGAACTGCGGATTATTTTCATGCAATTAAAAGTGTATAGTATTCACTGGCACCACTGGGGGGGACACCCCTCACCATCCCTCTCCAAAGGGCCACCACTGGGGGGGACACCCCTCACCATCCCTCTCCAAAGGGGGAGTTTGGTAAAGAGAGATGAAAAAACCGATTTGTGCCTTCCTTAAAAGTTGTCCTAGCTCGCTTGTCTAATATCTATATACAATCTTCACACTGCCGTACTCTAACGGAACTATCAACTCTATGCTTTCATCTACTCCATCTATCGTATAAAAATTACCACTACAGTCTGTTATTTGAAATTAGCATCTTCAACTATGTAAATCGTTGACTTCACGTAGAAGTAATACTAAAAACATATAGTCAAAGTATCTCCTAAAAGTTTTTTTTTTAACTTGCCCTGTAAGAATCTTCCACCTCCTTCCGCAAATTTCGTCCATTGTGCAACGGAAGTTTCATCATCTTTTCATTCCAACAGTATCAGATTACAATCAGAAGTCCTACCGCTGGAAGTGGAAACTATTTCCAATTTCATCCGGACTTCCCACGGAAAACTTTTCTGAATTATTCTGAAAGTTTCATCCGGCTACCTAAATTTGCATGGAAGCCTCTTCTAACTTCGCCGGGAGTTTCTCACAGATTGTGTCAGAAGCGTCTACCGGTTTCGTTTGGAAGATTCTTCGCCAGAAAGCTTTCCTGACTTCGCACTAAAAATTCGTCAAACTTTCTCCGGAAATTTCTATCAATTTTCCCACTAAATTTGTGTGGTCATTTTTAATATAACATATGTTTAACATGGTTTTCGTACAAAAAAACTGCTTCTCGGGAAGTGAAACTAGTTTTCTGGGAATCGGAAAATGATAATTCTGGTAAATTGCCTGGACCGGAAACACTAGACGGTGTGATTTCAAGACTAAGGAAGTAAGAATTTGGCCAAATGTTTTCAGAAGATTAATTTATCTCATGAAAATTAATACTCAATCTCACAAAATCGGTCGAAGAGGTTTCATATTTTGTTGCACTACATGCCTGAAATGAGGAAACCCATAATTAATAATTATTATTAATAATTACGGTCTTTAGTGATAAGCAACATTTTATTTACCAGCATTCATTAAGGAAGAGGGATTTATTTAATTCTCTAAGAATATTTAGCAGGAAAATGTCAGAGTTAGGGTCAACTCTCTCCAGAAGCGTTCGTTGTTTTCCCTGATACTCCTGCAAAAAGACATCAATAGACACGAGTTGAAAAAGGTAAAACATTTTGAATTTTCATCGTCTGGTGTTGTTGTGTTGATCGATATTTAGCACAAAAGGAGCATTGTTGAATAGGGTCTTTTGTTTAACTGTTCATCCCAGGTCAAAATAGGTTAATTCTGGCCAACTTCATAGTTGATTTTATTCTGAAACTTATATGAAGTATGTCAATGAGCATTCGTCGAAGGGATGTAGGAACCACCACATACCATTTTTTCATACTGGGATTGTCCAGAATCTACCTTTGGATTGACTGGATTATTTGGAATCCTCTCTGGACAGTCATGAATCCCCCTCAATATTGAGTTAAATTCCGAAGTTACCTTTGATATTGTTGGGAAACCGAACTGGGATTGTCTGAAATTCCCCCTAGGTTTGTTCGGAATCTCTACTGAGACTGTCATAAATCCCCTTTGCGATTGACTGGAACCCTCCTAGAGATTGTACAAAATCCAGCAGTAAAGCAAGACAGCTATGACTGTTCCGTAGGGTAACCACAAAAATCTTCCATCGATTTTGAGGGGGCAGCTTGTAGTTCCTTTCATACACGTGCAATTGCCCTTTCATTGCTGAAAGATCTTCCCAGTAAAGCATTGCAAGCGCACCGTTTAAAATGTTGCTGCTTTGCTTTGTTGGACAGTATCGGTAGCTATGTGCATATTATGTGTTGAGCAACGCGAGTGACTCAGAGTTACTCAAAATTAACTCCGATTTTACTCTTGATCAAAAGCTGTCTTGCCCCAAGGTTTAGACAGCTCTTCCAGAGTCTTCAGATAATTTTTGATCACTTGAGGTCATTTGTGGATTTAGTTTTGCCGATTTACCACAATGTTGTTGATTCTAGCGATTTTATCTTTCTACGCATTATTTGGCGTTTCAAGCCGTCAAAATATCATGGCTTTTAAACACCATTTTGGCCTAATAACATCTTCATTTAATATTGGTTGCTCGCGAGCTTATACAATTCTTAAATGTGGGTTGCAATAGCAAAAAGTTTGAGAACCGCTGCTATAGGGAAAATATATATGAAAAAGGAAATTTGAGTTTGTTAACTTAACGTTGTTTTATTCCAATAATAAACCGTGCTTATACTTTCTTGGACTCCCTATAGATGGTTCTTGTCAGGAGCAAAAAATAGCAAAAATTCGACAAAAAATGACTGAAGCAACAACAACAAAACAATAAAATGAACCGCGACCGAAGAAAAGAAAAACACATCCACAGAACAGCACACTTTGATCAAGAAAGTGGCTACATTTTTCTTCATACAAAAAGCTCACGTGACGCATCAAATCAAATCATGAGAACATGGTGATCCACAACGATGTTTCGCTATAGAACTGACAACTAGAAAGCGTGTTAATTTTTAATTGTCCATCGTGAAAATTTCACATAAGATAGAATTTTTTAAAAGCTTTTCGATTAGAAGTATTAAAAAAATACCATCTTCAATATGTTTTGTCATACTGTGGACCTCCGTTAATCTGAACGACACTTCGTGCATATTAACGGGGTTCATTTTCAATTTGAACTTCTAGTAAACCTACGACCATCGGAAAAAATTAGTTTCTGGTAACCTTACTTGCTGTTTTGTTTTGATTCTGCGTTCCGTTACAGAGCGTTCCATTTCACTTTAATCCATTCCATGTGCTAAATGACGTTTAAGCAATTTTTAGTTTAAACGGCATGCAGTTTAGTGGGGCTCAAACCAAAAAGAGTTCAGATTGAAAACTGTCAAATTACCTGGAGTCCACGGTATAAGTTTTAAGCAAAATTTTGGAAAATTTGAATGATGCATATTTTTTCTTATAAGGAATTACTTTTTCCTACAACTTTGTCTCAGGCATCATTTCGATTGGGAGTCACGTTTTCGTCGTATGATTTGTTAAAAAGCTTCTAATACGCCATTTTAAATTTTCGCTAGATTCAAAATGGTCGAATTTTAGCTGATATGTGAATAATTGACCATAACAAACAATAATTGCAAAGATTCCTTCAAATGGCAGAAGGTGGCGTCAGATCGAATCGACAGTTGGGGTGGAAAGTGATGTCCGATTACTACTCGATAAATCGAAATAATTGATTATCTGTTAAAATAATCGATTAATGTTTAATCGATTATCCAGTGCCTCGATTATCTGCTAATTTTCATAGGAAGTAGAGGTGAATTTATTTTAAGGTACATAGACCACCAAGCCAACAGAGCATCGATTAAACTATGTTCCATCCCAACTTGAAGTTTAGAACGTCTATTCTCTTAAGCAGATCAGACAATGAACCATTTAGTCAAGGCTATTTTTCACGATGACATTTTATTTGTGATTTCCCTCTCACACACTACAACATAGAGTACCTGACATGAATCTGAAAAAAACATGTCTGTTACCTCTATATATGCATTTAGATTAACATCCGACGTCACTCCTTTTTTACATATTCTACACAAAAGATACTTAGATTCCTGTGAGGGGTGAGCTATTTTGTGTGCCGAATGTGTGAAAAAGGAGGGACTTCGGATGTTAATCTAAATTCATATATAGAGGTACCAGACAAGTTTTGCACTGCACTGTCCTCTGTGAAAAATTAGCGGAAAACATATCATGCGTCGTTTCCGATAGATGTCACCGCAAACAACAGTAGTGACATCTGATGGAACATGAAAGCAGAAGCTTGACAAAATGGTTAATTACAAAGCTGAGCAACCGTTTGCCTGTCCCTCATCTGAACATGATACTATTCCTACAATCTTTTGGAGAAGATGTTTGATTTGAGTAAGTGTTTTTTTTAGACAATTATATTGCAGTTCAAAGACAAAATAAATTCGTTGTTAAGATGCAAGTTGTCTTTTCTCTCACTATATTTCTAATAAAAGTGTTATTCAGCGTAAAGAGTAAAAGTGTATTTTATTGAATTGTTAGTTAAAACACTTTCTTAAAGACGTTTATTTTCTTTGTTATCAGATAGTTTTGAAATTAATCGATTTATTCGATTAATCGATTATATCATGTAGATTAATCGATGTCGATTACTATCAATAAAAAAGTAATCGATTAGTAAAGAATCGATTAGTTGGGAAAATCGGACATCACTAGGTGGAACTGCTCCACTGTATATTCTGATGGTATTCAATAAGGTTCTAAGGAAGCCTTGGTACCTTTAAATTTAAAAATTAATCCATGTAAAATAATTATATATATACAGTTAAGATTCGTTAATCAAAAATGAAATACGTGTTATTTCTCGAACTTTAGGTAAAACATAACCTGATTTATGTGGAGTCTAAGGCATGCTTTAAGTGCAATTTATTACTTGGATTGGATTTTTAAATGCTTGGTGGGAAATACATCACTGGATCACATGTAAATGTGCATGGAACTTGCTGTGCAGTCCCAGGCAGTCTATCCAGATTTCAAACTTTGTTCAATTTACCTAAACTAACTCGATTTTAATCAATACATTACAACCATGCCCATTTTTTTTGGAAACCGTTCAGACACTGAAAGCCACATTCTTCCCTCAGGTCAAACGCCAGGAGCACATCTACGAGTTCATAATGACGGAGAAGCATCACTGCCAAACCCTACTAGTCATGCAGAAGGTGTTCGTCGAGAGCCTCCAGAAGCACTTTAGCCACCTGAACCTGGAACGGATGTTCCCGCGGCTGCTCGATCTGACCGAGCTCCACACGGGCTTCCTGAAGAAGCTTCGGCTGAAACAGCGCGAGCACCACATCGTCGACAGCATCGCCGACATCCTGTTGGACTTCTTCTCGGCCATGTCGGCGCAGAAGCTGAAATCGGCGTACGGCGAGTTTTGCTCCAACCACCGATCGGCCCTGAGTACCTTCAAGTGCTACATGACCGGAGACAACACGTTCGCCGAGTGGTACAAACACTGCCAGCAGAATCCCCTGCTGAAGAAGAAGGGCATCCCGGAGTGCATACTGTTTGTGACGCAACGGTTGACCAAGTATCCGCTGTTGATCGATCCGCTGCTCAAAAGTTCCCGCGAGGACAAGATCGAGCAGGAAAAGCTGCAGAAGGCGATGCAGCTGGTGAAGGAAATTTTGGTCGACGTGGATGCCCGCGTAGCGGACAAAGAGAAGGAGGACCGTCAATTAGAAATCTTCAAACGAATCGATGCCAAGTCCTATGCGATATTCAAGAAGGATAAGTTTAAGAAGTCCGATATTATTTCCAGCAATAGGAAGCTGAAGTGAGTCACGCGGGTGGTTTGGATTTGAGGATTGTCGATTCACGTTGGTGTCATTTTTTTGCAGATTTGAAGGGGTGGCCACGCTGATGCAGGGTAGATCCAAGATGCAGACTGTTTTGGTGGTAGTCCTGTCGGACTGCTTGTTCTTCCTGCTGGAGAACTCCCACAAATACTCGTTCTTTACTCCGGAAAACAAGGTAACGGATTGTTGTTTGAATGTTCGAGGGGTCCATCACTGATTGGAATGATTTTCCATTGTTCAAAACAGGCCGGTGTGGTGTCGCTGCAAAAGTTGTTAATCCGCGAGAAAGCTGGTACCGAATCGAGGGGAATCTACATCATCTCGTCCAATCCAGCGTATCCGGAGATGTTTGAACTGAAAGTGCAAAATCCAAAGGATAAAAACGTGTGGATACAATCGATAAGGTTTGTTAGGTTCATTGGAGGGTGATGCATTAGTGAGTTTTATTTTTAATAACCGACAGAGCTGCCGTTTTGGACTGCCCGTCGGACGAATCCGAAGTGGAGGACTACATGACTGCTGAACAACGCCAAAAACTGATAGATGCTAAGCAAGCCAACATTCGTGAGATTATCTGTAAGTATTTGAGCATAGTTTGCTAAAGCAAAAGTGTCTGATTCGCTGTACCAGGAGATGTACCAAAATCGTCACAAAACGACCATTTATTGCTCGTTGGTACACCTCGCAAACCATACTTATCAGTGTAACGTTTTCAAACGTATGCATATTTAAAAAAAAAAAATTGGTGCACTTCTTAGAATACTGAATTATTGCTAGGGCCTTCATTCACCGAGCATGAATGATGTCGTTGAAGAACACTTCTATTTGGTGTCCCAATACTACCAAGTATCAAATACCTGTGTTGAGTGTAATTTGGTTCAATGATTTCAATTGGCTGGAAATGTAGGATGATTTGATTTGTTACCGCTAGAACTGGATGTAATCACTAAAACTAGACATTGTGCTTGTTCTGTTTCTAATCACTTCCATTATTGCTAAAGCGATGGGGACGACCGAATTGGAAGGTAAACATGTGGCAAACGCCACTCTATTTTGTAGCAATATTTTTCTGTTGTGAGTCTCTACTCGCTCTCTGTACTAGTAGATGTTATCTCACTTGTTTGTTTTCTTCAAATCCAAGAAGGTTAAATTCTAAAATTTTCGATGTACTTCCCTTTTTGTAGGCAAAATGAGGCAAAAAGACTTTGAACAGGCAATCCTGCTGGAGGAGAAGATCGCCCTGCAACTGAGCCTGCTGCTGGACAACGAGCACAATACGGAACAGCTGGGACCCACGGTGGAAGCATTCATCTCCAACTACGGCTCCTACCGGGATCTGGTCTCGGATGACTGTGATACGATAGAGATTTGGAAGCGCGTGTTGAACACGATTCAGGAGATTAGCACCCTCGCAGCGTCCCTGTACACGGCGGCCACCGGGCTGCCACTGTCCCGGTCGTGCAGTTCGGTCGGCGAACGGCAAAGCGAGGTGTACATTTCGCCTACATTACCAAAGCGAGCGGAGACGTTCGGAGGATTCGACGAGCGGAGATCCAAACAGCAACAGAGTATAACGAATTCGTCACGAGATGCCGTTCTATCAACCCTCTCGGCGGGATATTTCACCAATCGGGAAAGCTACGAAAAGCGTGAATCCAATGCTTCGGAGTTTGACGGAGGACCGTTCTCTCCCGGAGCACAGCACGCTCCAGTTAAACTGAATTTGGACGGATTGACCACCGAGCAAGCCAAGGACAACAACTACGCAGCACTTCACGTGTCCCACCATTTGCACACATTGCTGTGCATAATCTCCCAACAGATGACGACGATTCAAAGTCTGCAGCATCAGTTGAATTCGTTCCGGGAGAATCCGAAGAACATGTATCGGCACAACGATCAGCTGGAGGAACTTCGCAATCTACAGGACAAACTGCAGGAGGAGAAGACAGCCTGGCAGAAGCAGAAGGATACGGAGGAACGTGAACTGGAAGAGCAACGTCGGTCACAAAAGACCTTGCAGGACCAGATTCGGGCCGAACAGGAGGATATCAAACAGCAACGGGAGCAGCTGTACCGAAAGATGGAGATTCTATCCAGTCAGGGTCTATTGCTGTCACCCAGTGTAAGTCGAATGTGTTTCGTGGATTTGGAAAATGAATGATGGGATTTTCGTTTCCTCAATCAGGTTGCCCTACCAGTTCCCGGCGGCGTCATGCCATCGCAGCACGATGAACAGCCCAGTAATAGTGAAGAGTACCACGTGGATAGTGCGGTAATGGCGGCTGGATCGGGCTCTCAATCTGTAATATCAACCATCGATCGAAGAAAGGACAAGTGGAGAACTGCTAGCAGTAAGATGATCTCGCATTGCCATTTCATAATTGATCACTAAATGAAGATTTCGCTTTCAGTCAACAAATCTCCTCCCGTGAATCTGGTCAGTGCAACAAATGCACCAAAAGTCAACGCAGCTTCCATCAAACAGCAGCTGCCGTTGAAGTTGTCCTCGCTGTCGAGGTATGATCCAATGGTCGGCGATGAACTGCCTGCAAACATTTTTAGCAACCCGATTTCTGGTTTTAATTTCAGCTCTAAGCCCAGCTCCAACAACAACTCGATCTCGTCGCCCAGCGGAAGCAGTCCGAGCCTGATGAACAGTAGTAGTGCCGGGATAACGCAGATGTTTCCACTCAAACTAGCCGATAAGAAGGTAGAAGAAATTTAGCATTGTTTGTGATCGCATAACTAATTATTAAAAACAAATTATTCATCTTTCAGCAGATGAACTCGAGCTTACCAAATCACTCACGAACCGGTAGCAGCCCTGCGGTAATCCAGCAGCAGGTACCGGTTCAGACGGGAAACCCAGCCACGAGGTGAGTAGCACTAGACATTCGTTTATTTGTTTGAGCTGATTCGAGGGAAGCTAGAAGGCCTCACTCATATTTGAGTTGCGTTCACTCAACTTCAGAAAAAACGTAGGTCACTAAAGTTTGAGTGACATTTACTCACATTTGAGTAAAAATTTACTTAGTTTAATCTCGAATATGAGCTAGATTCAGTGGCTGTTCAAGGTAGTTTAGTAGACTTAAGAATAATTTCGGAAATTTCTTAGAAGATCCAAGAAATTCACGAAAGTCCTGCGCGAACTACAGTGAAGTTCTGTGAATTCCATGAAAGATAAGAGATATTAAGGGTAGTCCTATTAACTTCACAAAAAATGCAGGAACTTTAAGAAGGTCAAAGAATCGAAAGCAAATGCCGAGAATTTTAGGGAAGTTTCAGAAACAAGCTGCGGGAACATAAGTTTCATGAGCTTCATGAATTTAAAAGCGTTTCCATTAGCTTCAAGAAAACTGCAGGAACTTTAAAGAAGTTTTGAAGAACTTTAGGGATATCCAGAGAATTTTAGGGAAGTCAAGAGAACTTCAGAGAAGTAGAGAAAACTTGCGGAAAACTGCTGAATCTTCAAAGAAGATTCAAGCTGTTCAGATAACCTAGGTCTAGGGATCATATGGGATTTTCGGGGATTTTTTTTTTAAACTGTATTAGAGAGATTTTTAGCCGTTGGCTAGTTCATCTCTATAAAATGGGATGCTCCAGAGGGGGTTTCTGCCAGAAAATTTTGTTACGGAGTTGGCTTACAATTCACATGTACTCAAATAGAAGCAATTAAAACAGATTCCAGTAAAAAGACTAACAATACAGGCAACGAGAAAAAACAACAATCTGGTACATCAAAGTTAGGTAGGGTTTTGAAAGAGATCGGAGCTCCACCGTAAGAGGGTAATCCCCCGGCCGGTAGAGATGTACCGTCAGCCAAAAGAAAGTTAAAAGGACCTAAATGTTGTTGTATAGCCCAGCGTCCTTGTGGAAATAAATAACTGTCGCTAAAGTGGAAGGTTCGTCGCCCAGTATGTCCCTAATGCTGTTGGGAAGTGCGTACTGCTCCCGTAGTTGTTGGTAGTGCGGACACAGGCATAGGATGTGTTCCACCAATGCAGTGGTTCCGCAAACGTAGCACATTCTGTGGAACTGCGTCCCACCAAAACTATGTGAGATCCTTGTATGGCCTGTCCTAAGACGAGAAACCAGCTTCTGGTCCCGTAGTTTCGACATATCCGTCCACTTGCTCGTCGTTCCTTTGATTCTTCGGATGAAGAGGGATTGGGATTGGCACCACTCTGCTTCCCAGGCTTCCCACATTTTGCTGACTATCCATCGCTCTATGTCCTGTAGTGGCACTTCGTCGGTGTAGAGGGGGCCAGCTGGTCCAGACCCTGCCAGGCTGTCGGCTTCGCTGTTTCCAGGGATACCGCAGTGCCCAGGGATCCAGGAAAACACCGTGTTCGGAGGTGTGGCCTCCACAATACCCTGTATCCAGGGGTGAGTCATGGTCTCCGATGTAAGGGCTTGCATCACACTGTACGAATCGGATAGCACCAGTATGGGCCGGTCCGAGGGTGTTGTACCGGCAACAAAGATGGCCGCAGCTTCGGCGGAGAAAACCGAGCATTGTGGCGGTAGGCTGCTACTCATCGGTGCTGAAATTCCGGCTACTCCAATTCCGACACCGGCACGGCAAAGCGATCCGTCTGTGTATATGTGGGCATGGGTTGGGTAGTCCGAGCCTAGCAGTTCGGCTATTATTCTCTTCAGCGCTGCAGAGTTATCTCCAGCCTTGAACCTGCTTTTTATCCGACTCTCAATTTTTGATGGAGGTATGCGCCAACTTTTGACCTTGGCCACTGGGGGAGCTCCGAATTGGCAGTCATGCGGAGGAGTCTGTTCCCCTCATCGAGGAGAAAGATCCTGTCATTTCCGGAGGTCATTACGATAAAGGCAGCGGCTTTCGTTGCAATTGCTGCGGTTATACGATAGCGGAAGGGCAGAATACCCGCTTCGATGCATGCGGCATCGACGGGCGTTGACAGAAGTAGGCTGGAGACAATCCGAACGTAGGTGTTAAAAGTTGGTGCTAGTATCTGCACGAGCTTTTCGGTGGCGATGCACGTCATCTCAAGACCGTACAGTAGGCGACTATCGATGACGGCTCTTGCAACCCGGAAACGAGTTTCGCGATTGTTAGACCGGTGGGGGCGTCGTTCTTGATCGCCTTAAAGTGCTGCTCGAAGTTGAGGGACCGGTCAACAAGTACCCCCAGAATACGGACCGTCTTCTTCAGTGGTATGGGCTGGCTTTGAACTTTAATACGTGGCCCGCTGACACGGTGCCGGGATGGACACACGTGGCACCTGACGCTTTTGGTGGCCGAAAGCTGGAAACCTACCGCGCTGGTCCCCCTGGCTACAGCGGAGACTGCTGCCTGGGCCTTGATCCTGTTACGTGCTGCTGTTGGGCCGGTAGTTACGATAAGTACATCGTTGGCATACACGAAAATGTAAACATTTGTCGGCAGTTCTCCGAAAACTCCGTTCATGGCCACAAGGAAGAGGGTAACGTTGATAACTGAACCTCGCCCGTCTCTTCTCTGAAAAGCTGGGACCTCGTGTTGCCAACTGCGCCTCTGAAAGAGCGATCGGTCAGGAAATTTTTGATGAAGTGGACCATGGGTCCACACAGCCCCCAGTTGACAAGCTGCTCTAAGACGAGGGATGTCCACGTCCTGTTGAAGGCCTTCGATATATCCAACGAGACGATCTCGGTGTGGAGACCGCTATCGTTGGCACTCTTGAGGACCTCCCCTAATGTTGCAAAATAAGTTGACGTTCCGTACCCTTGACGGAAGGCGTGCTGTCGATGGTCTAGCAGGTTTTCGGCTTCAAGGAAATGCTTTAGCCTCCTGTTGACCATTCGGTCCAGGACCTTGGCCATACAGCATGTCAAAGCTATTGGCCGGAACTTGCTAGCTTCACGGGTTGTTTCATTGGCTTTTGGGATGGGAATGACTAAGTTGGTGAGCCAGGGCTTGTTGAAAAGCTCCAGCATCCGTAGCTGGCCTGGCGTTGGTAACCGCCGACTTTCCGTTGCTGCAGTGGAGGGCATGCTGCAATTCCTGCCAGGAGAATGGCTGGTTGATGTCCGAGTTTCCAGCGTCAGAAGAAACAGAAAAACTTGCAATGGATGACGTCGAAGGCTTAGCTTTCCGCTTGAATTCTTCTTCGTACTTTTCAGGGATCTTAAGGGTGGTTCCAGTTATTTCAGGGAAGTTCCAAAGACTGTATGAAAGTCCAAATCAGGGTAAGTTTCAATAAATTCAAGATAGATCCATTAACTTCTGGAAAAGAAAAAAAATCACTGAAACAAACCCATTTAGGGATTTTCCGGGATTTATCCGGAATCTCAAATGCTGAGATTCTCCGAAATTCCACGTGGGATTGATCTCTGAATCTAGAATCCTACTTGGGATTGTATAATGGCACTGTTTTAGGATTCACCGTAATTTCCAATATGATTCTTTTGAATTTTTCTTTGATTATAGGGTGTCTCTTTCTGAATGAGAATTCCTTTTGGAATTCTAAATAATCCCATTTGATGTACTCCAGAATCCCACTGAAGCATCTTTCTTGGGATTCTCCAGAGTCCTGTGGAATCATGCCGAATCTCTTTTGGAATTATCGAGAATTCATCTTTGATTCTCGTCAATCTTGGGCTTTGACGGTATTCCTTTTAAGAGATCACTTGTGGGATTCTCTAGACCATTTCATTTAGATTCTCCCGGATAATGCTGGACATTTACCGGAATCCCTCCTGGGAATCACTGAATCAAACCCCTTTTAGGATTTTCCGAGCGGCGCCGGTGGTTTAGTGGTAAGCGTGGTTGCCTCTCACCCCAAAGGGCCTGGGTATAAAATCTCTGATCACGCCTTCCTTCGGAAGTAAAGTCGTTAGTCCCAGGTTCATGAGTTGAAGGGTCGATAGGTATGGTCCAGGTGTGAGAGCTGCTTTCCTGGCGTTGGTAGCATTGGTACTCAGTACGGAAAACAAATCAAGGGATTTGCCGGGATTTCTATTGAAATTCTCCGGAATCTTAAATGCTGCGATTCTACGGAATTCCACGTGGGTTTTGTTGGATATAGGCCACTCTATTATATAAGAACAGCCCTATTGAATGAGAGTTCACTCGTGGCTATTATCCCGCCAGTTAGTGCTCACCCTTGCCATAAGTGAATATCTTATTGGAGAGTAATCATCGGCTCTCTCTCTCTCTCTCTCTCTCTCTCTCTCCCTGTTCCCTCTCCAGTTACCCTTCAATCCCTTTCTGAGCACTTGTATTCGCACGAAGCAGACTCTGCCTCTTTGCATCTCGGACCATCGCGTGGATAGGACGTACATACGCGTAAGTAGCTGATCATCCAAGCATCGTCCAACCATCCGATCCCCCACTGAGTATTGGATGGTAGGACGCCACAGGTTTCATCTCCGAAATGCCACCTTGGATTCATCTCCAAAATTCCTCCTAGGATAATCCAAAATTTCGTGTTGAAATAATCTGGAATCTATCTTGGGATTCTACGTTGTCATTCTTTTAGGATTCACCGGAATTTCCAATAGGATTCTTTGAAATCTTTCTTGGATTATTTGGAGTCCCTATCTGAACGAGAATTCCTTTTGGAACTCTATACAACCCTATTAGATGTACCTCAGAATTCCACTGGAGACTCTCGAGCATCTCTCTTGGGTCTCCACAGTCTTTTGGAATAATTTTGAATCCCACATGAAACTCAGTATAAATTTCGGAAAATACCTATAAGGGCACTAAAGAACTCCAGTGTCCTTATACTGAGTTCCGAGGGATCTTCTTGGAGGTTCCGGGGGAGCTTCTGGGAGGTTCCGGGGATGTTTTGGGATGCTCCGGGGGAAGTTGTGGGAGAATTTGTGGGGGGGTTCCAAGGGAGCTTCAGTGGTGCTCTGG